CTAAAAGAACTAACAGATCTGTCCTGGAGGAAGTGCACCTGAAATGCTCCTTGGAAGCAAGAATGGCCAGACTTCATCTCACCTATTTTGGTCATGTCAGAAGGGACCATTCTCTGGAGAAGGTTGTCATGCTTAGTAAGGTCAACGAAAGAGGGGGAGGCCTTCAACGCGATGGATTGACACGGTGGCTGTGATGATGGACTCAAGTATAGCAGAGATCGTGGAGCTGGCGCCAGATCGGGCAGTGTTTCGTTCTGCTGTGCATGGGGTCTCTATGAGTTGGAGACGACTCCACAGCACCTAACAACAACAACAACAATACAATACAAGATTTTCAGGAGCTTTAGTTATTTAGGAAAATGCAAGTCAACAATAAAATAAAATGACAAAAACAGCCTGAGATGGTCTCTAAGTAGCACTATCACACTTTACAAAGATAGAAAATGATTTTGTAAAATTAAGTCCATATTTATGGAAAATAAGTGGCCCAGCCTGCTCACCCCCAGATATCAAAGAAATTTCACATAATTATGAGGACAAACTTAACAGTAAGAGAGTTGATGTTACACCCCAGACCTACTGCTGTAGAGTCGTTTCCAACCCACAGCTACCCTACAGGGCAGAGTGGAACTTCCCCATAGGGTTTCCAAGGCTACAATCTTTATGAAAGCAGACTGCCACATCATCTCTTCCATGGAGCAGCTGATGGTTTCAACCTCCAAGCTTTCTGTTAGTAGCTGAACACATAACCAGTGTAAAAAAAAAAAAAAAAACTCTCTGTCATCAAGTGGATTCCGACTCTTAGCGATCCCCATCAAGTTTCTGGTGGTAAATCTTTACGGAAGTAGATTGCCCTGTCTTCCTTCTGCAGAGTGGCTGGTGGGTTTGAACCGCCAGCCTTCTGTTTAACAGTCAAGTGCCTTAGGCACTATGCTACCAGAGGTCTCAATAAGTAACACTATGGAATGTATAGTGAGTGTAGAACCTTGTGGTATATAAGGCCAATAATGCTTATTGGCCTCTCAGAAAGGCTTAATATTAGGACTCTGCTTATTATCTTGATTTAAGTTTTAATTCTTCTTTGTTATAGAACCCCAAAACAAAAGAGCAAATTGAAAATCTGTTAAGGAACGGGATGAACAAGGAACTTCGAGATCGCCTTTGTTGCCGGATGACCTTTGGGACCGCAGGACTTCGTTCTGCCATGGGAGCAGGGTTTTGCTATATTAATGACCTTACAGTAATACAGTCAACACAGGTAATTATTATAAAGTATTATGTGTGTACTTTTTCTCCTCCTGTTTTTTTTTTTTTTTTTCCTTCATGAGTTAGGTAGTGCCTGTTGTGCTTACCTAGTGCCTCTCTAACAGGAATATACCCCAAGTGGGATGGCTTGAACAAACAGGAGTTTATTATTCTCTTACAGTTTGGGAGACTAGAAGTCTGAGTTCTAAGTGCCAAGCTCTAGGGGTTGTGTGAAAGCTCCTTGACCTTGGGCTTCAGCTCTGCCTCTTGCTTCCAGCCCACTGAAGCTAGAGGCATCTCTTCACTCAGGCAGCTACTGGCTGTTGAGGCTAACAAGCCCAAGGTCGACAAATAAAATGGCCTAGTCCTGATGTTACAAACCACATGGCAGGCCATTAATTCAAGTCCATTGAAATTCCCAATATTGGCAGAGCATGGCAGTCTGCTGAACAATGACAGGGCTACATGCAGGGTTCAAGTGTGCCATAAGCTAGAGACCATTCCCAAAGCTGTTTCTTACATACGGGAAGCAGGCCACATGCCTAAAGCAGCTACTCAGCTGCTTGTAGTAGGTCCCACTGTGTGGTTGATTGCCAATCTCATCATAGGGAATAACAACCACCCACTGCCCAGCCGCTCAACCAAGCCCAGCCAAGTTGACACACAAACTTAACCACCACAGTGCCTTTCTTTAAAAATTAGCTTTATTTAGAGGAAGCTCTTAGGAAGTATAAAATATACTTTTAGTCTTCCGTTAGACTTTTTTGAAAAATCATTTGTGTGTCTTCAAGGTCACAGACTAACTTTTTCATTAACTCTAATTTTGGTTGTCATTGTGACAATGTTACTTTGCATTTAAAACCAGGAAATGGATATTGACATATCAAAGTAGTGCAAAGAAACAAACTTGGATAAAAATAAGATGAATACCCCCAATCTGACATATAGCCATTGATAAAGATCAACCAATGTATTTAAAAACTTTAGTTGAAAATATGCCCCTTTAACATGGCTTTCTGTGTCCAATTTGAGAGTTCTTTAAGGCAAGGTATGATATGTTAGTTTATTTTCTCTGCATTTTTATGCAACTCAATCTTGAAACAAATTACTTGTCTCTCTATTGAATCATTCATTCTCAGTACTTCAAGGAACTCAGCTTTTGAAGCCAAGGATGCATTTAAGCGTATACAGTCATCCATCACTTAACGTCTACAATATGTTCTATGAAATAGGTTGTTACCTTGTGCAAACACCATGTTATATACAGGCTGTCCCTGCATTACGAACAAGTTCTGTTCCTAAGTCCGGCTTTAAATCGAATTTGTACTTAAGCCAGAATGATTAGGTATAGTTCATATCTAATGTTTATTGGTTAAGTGTTTGTTTTAGGATGTAGTATATAGAGTACCTTTCTGTGCATAAAAAAAAAACAGCCCTTCTAGGTACACTAAAACATCTTTTATGTAATTACAATAATGTTTTGGTGCACATTGCAAAGTAGGACCCATTTGTTATTACAAACAATTATATGTACCTTGAATTTTTAGTATAATAGGCTTTACATGTGTTGGGACCAAGGACATATATGTGGCTGGACATTGCTGGAATGGATGTTAAGTGGTGCGTGACTGTACTAAAAATAGCTCTGGACTAGATAATTGCTCAGTGTATGTAATTCTAATTCTGTCAAACAGTAAATCAGCTTAAGCCTTATTCTGAGGGAGTTCTATAAAGCCAGGGGCTGAGTAGGTGGGATTCATGCTGCCCTATCTCTCATCTCTTTTTTATACCTCAACTAAAGATACTTCAGTTAAATCTTTTTTATACACAGGGTAGTCCCTGATTTACAACAGGGTGCTGTTCCAGTGACAGTCTGTTCTGACATAAGTTGAATACCTCTTTTTTCTTTTTTAGTTTTCATTATCATTGCCTTTTATTATAAGTATCTTTGTAAATCTGATAATTATTTGTCTTTGGGAGTTGGAAACATATATAAATATCTGCAAGTGAACGTGTGAGAATGATAACATCAGCAAATTATGTACTGCAACACTGTATGTAGTACCAAGGGGGAAAAAAAAAACACCACCACACACAGATGTTCATAAATGCAGTTCATTGTAACTCGAATATGTCCTAAATTCGGGACTGCCTATTTGGGATTTGAAGTGAAGATTCTTTGACTTTACAAAAGGGAGTAGAGGAGGTGATTAAAAATCAATTTTTATAAAAGTGAAACATTTGTAAGAGTTTGGATCCCATCATGTGACTTGGAAAAGCCAGATAGAATCAGATTCTTAAACCGCAGACTTTTTCAGCATCTAGCTGTTGTTGTTGTTGTTGTTGTTATGTGCTGTCGAGTCAGATCCGACTCATAGCGACCCCTCCTTGGGTTTCCAAGGCAGTATCACTACGGAAGTAGATTGCCCCATCTTCCTTCCGAGGAGTGGCTCGTGGGTTTGAACCGCCAGCCTTCCGGTTAGCAGTCAAGTGCCTTAGGCACTATGCTACCAGAGCTCCCTAGAAGGAAATAAATGAGATGGATTCTTCGGGGGAAAAAAAGATAGAGTCTTATAGCAGAAAGAAATAAGATTCTATGAAGTTTTAGGACAGTATCATCTTTAGAAATGGATAAATTGGTGAAAGTGGATAATTTGGTTAATATTAAGTAACCCCCCATACACACACGTACACACACACAAATAAGGAGTAGGTTGGGAAGGAAGCTAAAATAATTAGTTGAAAGACCACCCTTGGACTGGAAGTCACTGGAGCCTGATTTGGGGCTGTCACATATATATTTAGTGTCTGCCACCATATACTAGTAGGCATAGTACCTAAGGTATTTGACTGCTAACCAGAAGGTCAGTAGTTCAAACCCACCAGCCACTCTGCGGAAGGAAGGCTGGGTAACCTACTTCCATAAAGATTTACCACCTCGGAAACCCAAAGGGGTCGCTATGAGTCGGAATCAACTCGATGGCAGGGAGTTTGGTTTTGGTTTTATGTACTATTAGATCTTCAATAATCAGTATAACTTAATTTTTGTTGCATGAATAGCCTGTGCAAGTCACTAAATAAAGCTTCAGTCTTATTCTGGTTCTTCTTTTTCCATGAAATGTTGAGAGACAGAGACAAATGATATTTGGATTTCCTATTTTTCAGAAGTATTGTAAGGATTAAATATGACATTTGTGAAAGTAATTTTAAAGTACTATAACAATGTGAAATATTATTTTTAGAGACTGAATGTGTTCATTTATTAAACTTAGCAAATCATCTGCAGATAGTTAAATGGTTTAGTTTATTATTGTTATGTTTTCAGTATTAGATACTTCATTCTATTTTTTTTGTCACCTTTAACTGTAAATTTTCCTAGTTTGTGAGATTGCTTTTCCTATTTTAAAACCAAGGAATTAGAAATAGAATTAAGAAATGTTTTAATAGAGAAATATGATTGATTTAAAAATGTTTGCATCGTAAATAGGTTCAATCTTTTGATTAACTTGAATCTTACAATTTAGCAAGGGCCTAAAATGGTCAAAATTCTTTTCTTTGGAGGCTTGAAGGCAAGAAATAATTTCTTTTGGTGCTTCTAACAGTCTTTTTAGCATATTGACTCTCATGTCCTGTCTTTTTCTGTAATGTTTTATATATTGTATTCAATTATGTGGTTGCTTAATTGAGATTTCTATGACATCAGATGTGTTTGAAATGCCAGGAAATAAATAAGTTTGTCACCTTGCATTTGTATATTGAACAATATCATTCCCACATTAGTAAACATGAGCATAAAGGCAGAAGTCAGTTCTCTAGGAGCCACCAAGCTACATGCCAAACGTGAAAATAAAAAATGTTAAATCTTATAAAATGCAAGTGTTAGTTAGGAGCTAATCTTTTATGTTTATCTGCTTCAGGGAATGTACAAATACCTTGAAAGATGTTTCTCAGACTTCAAGCAGAGAGGCTTTGTTGTTGGGTATGACACCAGAGGTCAAGTAACTAGCAGCTGCAGCAGCCAGAGGTATAGTGTTAATTGTTTCAAAGTTTAAGTTGGATTGGAATAAAACATTATTATTTTTTTCCTCCAGTAATAGGATTTCTGAAATAGAAGACTGTCGAATAGAAATGTGTTTATTGTAGAGGTGAGGTCGAAATAGCAGCATTTCAAAGATAAGCTTTACTCCAGAGGGGGAGAGACCAATAGTTGTACCTTAGTCCAAAGGACTAACAGACCACATGAACCCCAGCCTTCACGACCCTCAGACCGGAAGAACTAGATGGTACCTGAAAGGGATCATAATAGGAGGTCTCAGATAGAAAGGGAGAAAAATGTGGAACAAAACTAGAAATCATAAAAAGACCAGGCTTATATGATCTGATAGAGACTGGTGGAACCCCTGAGACTAAACCCCTTAGACACCCTTCAGGCCTGGAACTGAACTCACGCCCATGGCAAAAATTTTAGCCAAACAGTAGGCCTATGAGGTGAACAGTAACACCAGGGAGGTACACACTCCTTAGAATAATCAACCTATGAGAGAAGGCACCATTTACCCAGGGATAAATCTCAGAAGGCAGGAAGGGATAGGAAAGAAGGAAGAAGGGCAACTGTAAACACAGAGAGTGTGGGACAAGTGTTGTTACATTGTAGGGATTGCAATCAGTGTCACAGAATAAAATGTATAAGAACTGTTAAATGGAAAACTAGTTGGGTCTGTAAACTTCTTCCCAAATCACAATTTAAAAAAAGAAAGAAAGAAAAAAAAAAAAAAGATAAGCTTTTAGAGAAAGGAGTAAAATTTTACATATTTAAAGAGTTTGCATTTAGAATGTCAACTGCACTAGGCAGGAGTAATTATGTGGCTTGTATTCTTTCTTTATAGTCCTATTTGATTAGTTTTAGGTTGTATTCATACATAGATAATTATAACACAGTGATACCTTTTTTTGAGCTCTTATTTTCAGAAGGTGGAGCCCCTGGGTGGAGCACACAGTTAATGTGCCCAAGCTGCTAACTGAAATGTTGGTAGTTCGAGCCCACCCAGAGGCACCTCAGAAGAAAGGCCTGCCGGTCTACTTCTGAAAAGTCAGCCACTGAAAACCCTGTAGAGCACAGTTCTACTCTGCCACATGGATAACTGTTTGTTTTTTCCCTGGGGTAATTGTTCATCTGCAGTATTTATTGTAGTTTCATTTACTTATTATGGTATTTATTTCTTGGTAAAAGAGCCATCAAAGGTGAATGAGGAAAAAGAGGAGATTAAATTGTTAATTCTATTCTTTGTTAAACTCCTTTTTAAAACAATTCTATTATCACCTTTAAGTAGGAACATGAAGCTTAAATAATCAGTGATTGGAAGAATTGGTTGTATTATGCTACTGATATATTCAGAATAATTGTAAGGTGAAGCATATATTTTATGGATGTTTGGTTTTTAAAAACTAAGTGAAATCCCTCTCTTTTTTTAAGGCTTGCTAAACTCACTGCTGCAGTCTTGCTGGCTAAAGATGTCCCTGTGTACCTTTTTTCAAGATACGTTCCTACACCTTTTGTAGTAAGTATATGGTGTTAAAGGTGCCCTGGTGACACAGTGCTGCTAACCAAAAGATTGGTGATTCAAACCTACCAGCCACTCCATGGGAGAAAGATGTGACAGTCTGCTTCTCTAGAGATTTACAGCCTTAGAAACCCTATAGGGCAGTTCTAGTCTGTCCAGTCGGGTCACTGTGAGTCAGAAGTGACTGGACAACATTGGGTTTGGTTTTGATTTATGTTGTGTTATTGATTATACAATTTTATGTTCTTGAAAATATTTCTTAAATCAGCCAGGACTCAAATCTTTGTCATCTCTATAGTTCTGTATTAAGTGGTATGTAAAACCAAAGAAGGGAAAATAAATTTTGCTCTGGATTTATTTTCATTCCATGATCATTTGTTGAACCTCCTAAGAGCTTGATCTAAACAAGTTGACATGTGCACAATCACGGTGAAATATTTTAATACTCTTCTTTCACAGACTGGTTTATCAGACAAAAATAAGTTAGGGTAGACTTAAGGACAGTATTAATAGGCTTGATCTGATATATATGCAAGGGTGTAGCAAACCCTATATCCAACGGTGACAGAATACACCTTCTTATCAAGCAGAATCATAAAGGAACTCTCAATAGCAGAGGACTACTTATCAAGCCATGTCTCCAGACTCCATTGCAATAAAATTAGAAATAAGAAAGTCCACAGAAACCTGTATGTTTGGACTTTTAAACCACATGAATAAATAATTCACAAAGTAAGAAGGATAGCATAACAAAGATTAGAAACAACAAGCAGTTCTCACTGTACACAATAGTGCAGAACCATAAAAATGACTGTACAAGCTAAAATGATACAAAGTCTTAAATAATCAAGGGGAGGAATTATAATTGTTTGGTGACATTTCAAGATTTTCATCAAAATACTAAAAAGACCCTTACTGTTGGTTATAAATGTTTAGGAAAATGAAAAAAAATAGCAAATTTATTATTTATTTTGTGTACTGTAATATAAAACATTAGAAATGTTGAGAATTAAAGTTTTCTATTTCTTTGCAAAAAAACTTGTGCAGAGTAATTTAAACAATGCTTACCTTTCTTAGCCTGTAAGTTATGATGCAGAGAAGTATCTTTTCTATGAATTATCATACTCCTTCCTAAGTTTGGAGCAGCTTCCAACATTTGATCCTTTGTACTTTCAGTGTTGTGAAATATCTCTGAGAGTTCCTTTGTTGTTGTTACCTACCATCGAGTCGACTTCAACTCATAGCAACCCTATAGGAAAGAGTAGAACTGCCCCATAGGGTTTCCCAGGCTGTAATCTTCACAGAAGCAGATCACCAGGTCTTTTCTTCCTCAGGGCGGCTGGTGGTTAGGGATCGCCAACCTATCAGCAGCAGAATGCTTAACCATTGCTCTACCAGGGCTCCTAGAGTTCCTTAAATGTGAAGTTTTTTGCTAGTGTCACTTCATCCATTTGTTTCTTTGCTACACTTTCATCTTTTTTGGCATTTCCACTCTTTTGATTATCCATTTTTGTAAAATGTGTGACAGCTGAATGACAAGTGCTCAGTCAATCACTGGCAGACTTTGAAAGAAGTGACATGGTGACTGATCATGATGGATACGTTATTTACATAGTGATTTATGGACTGAAGATTTTAGATAATAAAGTTGTACCACCATTGCCTCTATCCTTTCCCCAAATAGCCTACCATTATTAATATAAATTTCATGTCCCTCAAACAAAAACTCCCCCTTTCCCTTCCCGCTTACCCCTGGTAACCATTAATTATCTTTGGTTTCTATATGTTTGCTTATTTCATATAAGTGAGATCATACAGTATTTGTCCTTTTGAGACTTCAGACTTAAATATGTTATTATTGTTATGTGCCATCAAGTCGAACCCAACTCATAGCGACCCCTCCTTGGGTTTCCAAGGCAGTATCACTACGGAAGTAGATTGCCCATCTTCCTTCTGAGGAGCAGCTGGTGGGTTTGAACTACCAGTCTTCTGGTTAGCAGTCAAGTGCCTTAGGTACTATGCTACCAGAACTCCTAGACTTAAATATACAACTCCCTATTTAATATTCGTAACTTGAATGAATAGGCATTTAAGACTTAGCATGTCAAAAACCACATTCCTGGTACTTCCTGGTGTATGTACTATCTGTCCTTCCTCACAATCTCTGAAATGCACAGGCTAAAATTATAAGAAATATACTCTTGAGAGCTCTGTGGATTAAAAACTTACTATCTTCTGAGTTTTTCAGAAATTGAAGCAATGTTTAAAAGTAAGTGAAATAGAGCATGACAAGAATGTGTGGTATTAAAGCTGTTGATCTAAAAGAATTACATTTTAAAATAATGTATTATTAGATAAGATGAGCCTGGGGTTGATTGTTAAGGTTTTAGCCATTTATACGATCATGTCTTTTTCTATTATTCAGTCAAAATTAATCTCATGCCAAAGGTATGAGTAGCTTGGAAGCAAAATGGAATTATGATTTTGTTGTTTTTCAGCCATATGCAGTTCAGGAGCTCAAAGCAGTTGCAGGTGTGATGATTACTGCATCTCATAACCGCAAAGAAGATAATGGATACAAGGTAAACCTTGAACTTTTGACCATTTGCTTATTTTATAGTGCTTACTTATTCAAATAATAAGTCCTGAGTATATTTTCTTACACTAGGGAGCAGGGCTAGATACTGGGGACAGAAAGATGAAAACACCAAAGCTGGCCCCTGAATGTATACCCCACCACTAAGATCCTTATTACTTCTCACCCTGTACAAGTCTCTTCAGTGGCCTTTTGACTTTTGCGTCTTACTGCCTTTGCTTTCCCCATCCCATCCCAAATCTGTCCTCTCTACCATTTCAGAAATAAGATTGTATTATACTAAGAACCTGAAGAATGAATGGGAGTTTGTTTGCAGGAAGATAATCAGAGGAATTAATTCCCTGAGCTCATTCTCCTCCTTCTCCCATCTTCTGCCAGGCCTCCGCATTGGCCACAGGATGCATCTGGTGTGCCAGCCTCCAGTGGCAGATAGCAGGGTGGAGGAAGGTGAAGAATGGTTCTGGAAGAGCAAACAGAAGCTACATGGCACAGTACTGAATTGGTGCTTGGGGCTTCTGGGTGATGAATTCATGATCTTGTATTTGTTTCTCTTCTTGTTTGGGGGGAGCTCTGGTGGTGTAGTGCCTAAGGCATTTGACTTCTAACCAGAGGGCTGGCAGTTCAAACCCACCAGCCATTCCTTGGAAGGAAGATGGGGTAATCTACCTCTGTAGTGATACCACCTCAGAAACCCATGGAGGGGTTGCTATGAGTCAGATCCAACTCTATGGTAGTGAGTTTGGTTGGGTTTTTTTTGTTGTTGTTGTTCTTGTTTGGGAGGATTCTGGGCATGTTGAGTTCTGTTTTACTGGGAAGAAGAAGATTTAATACTAATCTAACATTTTGGCCCTGGCAAGCTGTTTTGTTTCCTAGGGTTTCCATAACAAAATACCACAAGGTGGGTGCCTTTGAAGAAGCTAGAGGTTAGAAGTCCAGATCAGAAGTGGTCATGTCAGTTCCTTCTGAAGGCTTTAAAAGAATAATTTTGTACCTTTTTCATGGCTTCTCGTGGCTGCTAGCAATCTTTGGCATTCCCTTGCTGTCTGTATTTTTACAGGGTGCCTTTTTTCTGTGTGTGACTCTGTTTTGTATTTGTCCTTTACTTTTATAAGACCCATTGAGAAAGGGATTAGAATTCAGATCCACCTAACTGTGATATGAATTCATTTTACTTAATTGATAACATAATAAAAACCCTGTTTCTAAACAGGGTCACATTCACAGGTACAGGGGTTAGGACTTTAACATACCTTTTTGGGGACAACAATTCAATCCATAACACCAGCTCAGTAGAAAGTGTTACATTCACAGGGGCAGGGGCAGGGAAGAAATATGATTAATTCAGTTTTTGTTTTGTTTTCATTTTTTCCTTTTAAAAAATTGTGGTGAAAATATACATACCAGACATTCACCAGCACAGTTACCACATGTACAATTCAGTGACACTAATAACATTTTCCATGTTGTGCCACTATTGTCACTATCCTTTCCCAAAACATTCTACCACCATTAACAAATTCAGTGCCCACCAAACAAAAGTTCTGTCTGCCTCCCTCACTCCCACACCTGGTAACCATTAACAATCCTTGTTTTCTATATATTTGCTTATTTCATATAAGTGAGATCATACAGTATTTGTCCTTTTATACTGATGTGTTTCACTCAGGAGTTCTAGTGGCACTGTGGTTATTGCATTGGGCTGCTAACCAAAGGGTTGGCGGCTTGCACCCACCAGCCACTCCGTGGGAGAAATATGCGATAGAGTATTTCCATAAAGATTTACAGCCTTGGAAACCCTATAGGGAAGTTCTACTCTGTCCTATAGGGTCGCTAGGAGTCAGATTCAACTTGACAGTGGGTGGGTTTATTTCACTCAGCATAGTGTTTTCAAGGTTCATGCATGTTATAGCATACATCAAAACTTCATTTCTTTTTATGGCAGTATAATATTCTATTGTGTGTACATACCACATTTTGTCTATCTGTATACCTGGTGATGGGTATTTTGGTTATTTCCACCTTTTGGCTATTGTGAAAAATGCTGCAATGAACACTGGTCTACAGATTTCTGTTGGCACTCCTGCCTTCGCTTCTTCTGGCTGTATACCTAGGATTGGGATTGCTGGGTCATATGGTGATTCTGTGTTCAATTTTTGAGGAACAGCCACAGTGGTTTAACCACAGTTGTTACACCATTTTACATTCCTGTCAGCAATGGATGAAGGTTCTAGTTTCTCTACAACCTTACCAATGCTGTTTTTTGTTGTTGTTGTTGTTGTTGTTTGTTTTGTTTTTCTAATCATTGCCATTCTAATGGGAATGAGGTAATATCTCATTGTGGTTTTGATTTGCATCACTAATGGCTGATGATGTTGAGTGTATTTTCATGTGCTTCCTGGCCATTTGCATATCCTTTTTGGTGAACTGTCTATTCAAGTCCTTTGCTCATTTTTGGTTTGAGTTTGTCTTTTTTTTTTTTTTAATTATTAATTTTATTTTGATTTGGGTGAAGATTTACAGAGTAAATTCACTTTTCATACAGCAGTTCACATATACTTTGTCTCATGTCATTGACCACAATTTACAATGCAACAGCTCCCCTCCCACTTCCTCCCCATAGTTATCTCTTCCCAGTGTCCATCCCTTCATACTCCTCTGCACCCTGAGCTATCTCCCTG